GTGAAAACAGGATTTCTATCTAACTCACCCCATCATAATTTACATTTCTACAAAATGTTCAGAGCAGTACGTTAAGATGGGACAAGAGACAAGGGCCTCAAGTTGTGCCAGAGAAAGTTTAGGTGGGATATTGGGAACAGTTTCTTCTCCAAAAGGGCCCAGGCTGCCCAGGGCAGGGTCCCCATCCCTGGAGGGGTTTCCAAGCCGTGTAGCTGTGGTGCTGAGGGACGTGGGGCAGGGCTGGGGGAACTCGATGTTCTTAAATGTCTTTTCCAACCCAAACAGTTGTGTGGCTCTGCAGGAGGTGGCCTTCAGAAGCAATCTGCTCCAACAGGAACGTGTTCTGCCCATCCGAGCTGGACTGTGCACGTGGGCTCCTCCCGACAGCAAAGCACCTTCAGCAAACAGGCTGCACCACAGCTGAGAGGGATGTTTAGAAGCAGGTAGAAAATCATACTAAATTCTGAACACACGCAGGCAGATGTCATCAGGAGTGACTCTGAGGCTTCTTCATCTAAACTTCCTCCGCCGGGCACGCTGCTGGGGGTGGGAGGTGGGAATGAGCCAGGGCATGGGGATGCCAAGGGAACAGGGAGGCCTGAGCTCTGTAACCCAGCAGTGCCCACTGACCTGTGGCCCAAGGTGCCAAATCCGTGTTGAGGAAGGCTGCTGGTTAGTATTTAATGTGATAAAGAAGAAATTCCACAAGGAAGCAGAGGAAGGAGCTTCCACCAAAGGAGCAAGGACTGGTGTCCACAAAAGTGGCTCCATAAAAGTGGTCTGTATAAAATGAGGCAGGAGTGGCCACAGTGTGGGCTACAATGAGGTGAAGGGGCTTTTGCATCAAGCTCCTCCATCCCACTCAGTATTTGTGTTTCTTGTCACACGGTGAGACTGGTGGCAATAAAGGTTTCATCCTTCTGCTTCTCCTGCCAGGCGAGGAACTGCAGACGAGGGACTCACCCAAGGCCAAGCAGAGGCAGAGCATCCCAGTTGGTGTCCCAGTGTATCCACAGGGACATCCTGGCTTCACCAAAGGTCTCCCAACAGCACAAAGTGGAGATCAGTTGCAGAAGCCACACTCCAGTTCCACGGGAAATCCTGAAATCCACAGAACCTAAATAACAGCCAGCAAAAGTGTTTTTAACAAATACTAACAAATATCCAGGGAACAAGCAAATCTCTGTAAAGTGATCAATGTGCTTGAGGTCAGAGAGGATCTGAATCACAGACCTGATAGCCTCAGCAAGTGAAGCCTTGCTGTGCAGAGGAAGTTGTAATGAGAAGTGTAGTTCTTACCACATCTGGCATACAATGGGATTCGTACCAAACCTGAAAAATCCTTCTTTTATTTCACAGGTTATTTGCTGCAGATTTCAGCTCCTTGCTTCACTCCCTGCCTGCCATGGCTGCTGAGCTACAGGCTGTCCCAGAGGAGGTACCATGAAAAACAGGTAACAGATAAAATAAACAGACCATGACATGCACATGTGAACCCTCCTCTCACTTGAACAGGCTGATCACCTTGTCAGCCAGTTTTGCATCTGAATGGGCTTCAGGTGAGCTAAGTTACTTGTCCATCATTCACAAAATCTGAGGCAGCTGTGGGCATGCCCATGAGCAGCACCCTGTGGATGAGCACCCATGGAGTTCAGGTGCCCTAGGGCAGGGCAGCAGTCAGTGAAGCTAATTGCTACTGCAAATCAGGGTGAATGAGCCCAGATCCTTCCCTCGAAACACCAATTCTCTGTTTTGGTGAAGCAGTAGAAAAAAAATCAAACTGATGAACCTTCAGCCTGCCCTTTCTTGGTCAGTGTTTCAGGTAGGGTGCAGGTTTATCACACTATGTGTGCACATCTCTGTGCTGCTAATGAGAGGTTTCAGTTCACAGCCCTATCAACATTTTAAATCACTCAATAAATGCACATTCTTCCCATCTCTGCTTGACATGCGACACAGTCCATGAATACTTGGCCCTGGGAGTGACTGTACTGAGGTTCATTTCTGTTCCCTTACTAGTGTTTATTAGCTCTGGCTTTCCAGCATGAGCTTATGCACTTGTGATTATCCAGAATTTACATGCTACTTTGCAGCTACATCAGTTGTTTGCCTGACAGCACTCAGTTTAATTCCCAGTAACCTAGGAATGGGCTCATTTCAAGCTATACTGTTACCTAACAAATGGAAATTAAACCACAGGTTGGCTTTTACCTTATTTGTGTCCAAAAAAGCGCGTTCCTTTTCCTCCTTTGTCTTGAGGCTGTAACACCTCATCCCCTTTCACTGAAAGCCCTAGGTGTCCTCTAACAGTTCCTCACTTCAGCTGTTACCCACAAGGGTTAGGTCATGCTCAACGTCCTTCCAGCCAAAGACATGACAGAGCTGTCCATACCACCCACCCAGCCAAGGGCAGGTAACACCAGGCAGTGCAGCCCTCCTCTCCTCCCACTCCAGGGAAGGCAGGGAGCAATGGGAATGGAGAGGCAGGTCTTTTTACAGCCATGAAAAAAACCCCAGCTCCTTGATTTCCTATGTGCTCTCCACCTATTTTACAGGAGACAATTCAATATGTTAAAATGTTTAGAGGGCCTATAGAACACAGCAGTTATTGTTGTAGCGAGTCATGTTCTTTACCTTTCAACATGCCAAGGTTTGGGAAGGGATCTGAGAGCCAAAAGACTGAAAATGTTGCTGTGTGTTGCTAAATAGCATACTTCAAGATTCTGTCTGGTATGAAATAACATCAGTGTTGGCAGCCTTTTACCTGGCACCCTGGAACACAGCAGAATGGACATAGCAGAGTGTATATAGGCAGATTTTCCTTACAAAGACTGCAGTGCTGCCAGTGCATTCCTGGAATGTGGAAATACATGGAAGCCAGTGTCAGCAATGAAGAAAAAGCTTGCTGTGCCTAATGTACCAGAAGAGCTATTCAAGAACTCATCCTCACATAAAAACAACCATAAAGACAACCAGCATTTAAGGCTCCTAATAACAGGCCTGTGATCTTTCAGTGGTGACGTTAGTTTGTGTATCTCCACCTTAGGACTGGAACCCTTCATGCTGAAGGTAAAGCAGAGGAACCACATCTCTGAAGGCTTGCTGCCTGTGGAGCTACAAATAGGGCCAGAAGTAGCAGGGAAATGCTTGGAGTGGAAACCCTCAATAATCCATGACCTTGGGCAAATAATGAGGTAGGCTGGAAGGGGAGGTTGGTCCTCAGTCCCTCCCCACCACTACAGATCTCTCTCTGCTAGAAAATCTATTTATATGGGAGGAAATAAGAAAACAGAGAAGAAAATTTAAAAAGAAAAATAAATAAAATAGGCATTTCAAATGTCCAGAACATTTGAGAAACAGCAACATGATAGCAAGAGAAAACTGTGTTTTACTATCATTGCTTCCAAATGCCTTGTTAAAAATATTAATTGAAAGTGGTTGATGATGCAACTTGCATGACACACTTACATGATTTCTGATGCTAAAAATCCTGTGTAATCATTTTAGGAAGCTTATTTTTAGCTTTAGAAATGATACAAAAATATTACCTAGAAAACCTAAAAAAATCTAATAATAATCAATCCTATATTTGCCCCGAGCCTTACATACCTTATGGAGTTTGAATCTATAGTTAAATTCCTCCTAATTGATTAAAAGAAAATCTGTGACAGCCACGACTTTATTTTCATTCCATGATTAAATACATATCACGCCTTCGTTTGCAGAAAATCACAGATGGGAATAAAACAGATGCCCTCAACACATCCTGCCAGAGCACTTGCCAATTAAGATTTGCTTGTATCAACTCTACCTGATGCCAGTTTGGCTACACAAATATCATGGTCTTTTTCTGAGGCTGCTGTCAGCAGTGAGCTTTGAATCCTTTGCACTGCTCCTCCATCAGAAAACCCCTCTGTCTGAATCAGCACTGCTCTTTCCTAGCACTCCTGTTGCCTGTTGGGCAAGAGTTGTTGCTACAAGAGTTACCCACATGAGAACAAGAGCCCAACCCTGACCCAGTGTGCAAAGAGGAACTAAACTTTCTCACCACTGCTGACAGTGAAACCAGTATATCCCATTTAGCAAAAAGAAGTAGAACTTAGGATCCCTACCATGAAGACATCACGAGTAGGATGGCAGAGGGAGGATTCACCACTGCACATAATCCCTTACTTCTGTCCTGGGGAAGGACTAGAAATATTTTTTGACCCTTAGAGATCTCCTGAATCCCAGGAACAAGGAAGAGTCTAGAAATTAGGAGAAGTGATTCTCTGAAAAGCAAACATAACCTTGCCTGTGAGACTAAACTTGATTGCCTATCAGGGCCTCCCTGATGTTTGAAAGGACAAGTTTATTGTCACCTGCAAATGTGTTTGTCAAGGCACAAAGAAATCTCCATTTCCTACCTTTCAAGCAACAGTAGTATGGTGAAAACACAAAACTATAAAATAAAGGCAAAGAAATCAAGAAAAAGGATCACACTCAGAAGTTTGTTTTTTGGGTTTTTTTTCAAAGGAAAAAGGAATGGACAGTTTTGCATTGGGTTTTCTTGGATTTATGCAGCTCAAATCTGTCCTGAGACATTGGCTGGAAAACACAGAGTCATTGGTGACACTTCAGACATTACTATATAGCAAATTAATAATGAAGGAGGCTTATATCACATGCTGGAGAGACTGTAACTTCACACTTTGATATAAGTTAACATAACTGTTGAAGCATCAACATCTTCATTCAAGAGGAATTTTCAAAAGCACCCAACAGCCTTCCTCTCTGGGAAAACACCTGAGGTATTTACGTGGAGACAGAACGATGCTGAGTCTGAGAACCTCTGAAAACCTGAATTTAAAGCACTAACTGGTCCTTTTTTTGCAAGTGCTATGGCTTTTATATTCATTTCCCTCCTTAACAGCTACAGTCATGGTCAACTAAGAAAAAAACCCAGCACTTAAATTGCAAAACTTGTTCCCTATGACACCACAAAACAGAGAATTGAGATGTTTTTTGCTTTGCAGAATACCTTTATCTCTACTGCTCACTGGTTACCAATACAGGAATTAAACACCAGGTAATCTTTGTGTTCCAAACACAACTATCATTCAGTTATACTAGTCTCCATATTTAGATTGCCTTATTTCTCCCTCACTTACAAACTTGCAGTTTCCCTAAAACAAGTGAGGTTGTAGCAAGGGCAAAATTTATAGGCAAGTTATGCAGAGCTGAAATGTTTCTAGGGCAATGTTTTATAGTCCCTTAGAGTTCCATACACAGTGTATTACTGTGTACTCAAAGAGCAGTTATTTACACACGTGTCTGAGGTTTTCTGTCAGGTTTAAAGTTCAGACTTTTTTTTCTCAACTAATCTAATTTGTCCAAGATGGACTGCCTGCCTTTTTTCCTTTGGAAAACCAATGCTGTTACACTGTTTCCAATTCTTCCTCCAAAGCAAAACTTGGGTGTTGGCAGCTCCTCCAGAATTTCAAATCCTGCCAGACAGAAATTAAAATGCTTGTATTAGAAGGAAGTAATTTTTATTCTCCTCTTGGATAACTCCTTGCAAATCATCCTTTATTTGTCTGGAAGACCTGCAAGTCAGTTACTCTCTACATTTATAGGACTGGTGTTGTTACACTGCATCACTGCTTTATACAGCTGAAACCCTTCCATGGACAATAAAAATCTTAGCTGGCTGACTCACACCAATTAATGGCAAAAAAAGATGAAAACTTGCCAGCAATTTTAGTTCCCCAGAAGGGATTGTTGGTTTAGATCCACACTTGAAGTTTCAAGCCTCAGGCATGAGCTTGTAAAAACCACCCTTTCCAGTGGATCAGAAAGCTTGCTGAGGTGACATAAAAGGTCATGGTCACAGACTTGCCAGTTCCCCTAAATTTGAGTAACAATGTTACCCCTCATTTTCAAGCAGATGGGTGAGCAGGATCTGGTAATAAAGGGCCAGAAGAGAAAAAGTATCACCTGGGGATAGAGCCACATCCTTTCCTACTCTAACTAGGCTGAAATCCTCATCCTGTCCCTTGGCACGTTGGCCAAACGCAGAAGCTGCAACTCCTGAGGAAAACAGAGGGGAGACAGGCTGAAGCATTTATTACCCTCTTCACCCTGTCCAGTTCTGATCTGAGAGAGTCAATATCCTAACACAAACATTAACGTTTACTCATCACACCTTTAAACAACCCCGTAAGTCGGCCAGTGGTTCTGTCCAACTCCTTACCTTCCCTGAACTCGTTCAGCAGCTCCTCCTTGGTCCAGTTGCAAGATGTTATGAGGAAGAATCCCTCTGGTTTCAAGACACCGCAGAGGGATCTCAGGTACTGCTTCCTCTTTCCCACAGCATTATCTGGATTAAGGCTTATGGCATCAAAAGTCCCCTTGTCAATGCAAATCTCAAATCCTGACAGCTCAGCTGATGGAGTCAGGAAGTCTTCTACCTAAACCAGAAGTCTGCAATTGTCAAAACAATCTTCTGCTCAGAAGCTCCTGAATCTTTAATGCAAACTTTAAAATAACAAGCCTCAAACCTGACAACAGGTGTGCTTAGGAAAGGGTAACTCATGGGCTTTTCACTCTTAGGTGTCACCTTCTTTCTTCTCCATGTAGTACCCTTGCTGCAAGGCCCATGTATCTACCTGTCCATCTAAAGTTCAGACTAACCTACTTGAAGTTCATTCTTTAAATCTTTATTTGTTCTTTGATCCCTGGTTTCCTAGATGCTGCTTGCAAAGCTCTGTACAGAGAACAGACAGTGCCTGCCACCAGGAGATGACAACCGACAGAACAGAGACATCACACAGGCAGAGAGCTGGGGGGGAACACAGGGTAGCAGAGTGAGCACTCAGAGTGAAATGCAGTCACAGAAGCACAGGATGGCTGAGTTTGGAAGGGATGTCTGGAGGTCATTTGGTCCCAGCCCCTGCTCCCTCTCAAATTTCCAGCTGCACAGCTACTGGTACGGATTTTATCACTTGAGGATTACATCCTCTATCTCAAACCTGAAATTGAGAATGTGGCAGCAAAAATACAGAGCTTGCCAAGTGGCAAACCACTGTTCTGCTCCTTGCTAAAAGCAGGAAAATCTTCTTAGCCCTAATGACTGTTACAAACAGAAAAAAAAAAAAAAAAAAGACCAAAAATCTTCTTGTGAATACAGATTTATTTGGGTAAAACTTCTCTGACAAATGAATTTGGAAAGACATGATTAATGTCATACATTGAGTACATCTGAGTAGCATTTAGGTCATTTACTCTTGGGTTCAATTTGTTTCTATTTCCCTGGGGAAGTTTCTCTTAAAACTTACCTTTAATTTAATGTTACACATCCCTTCTTTGTCCCTTACTTTTTCTGAAAGTTGTATTGCAGAGGGAGAGTAATCAATCCCAGTGAGATTAGTGTAGCCAGACTTTGCCTAGACAGGAGCAGAGAATCTTAATTAGTGTGCTAGCAATTGTGTTATCCAACAAGAGTACTCCTTGTCTATAATCCACTTACATCTCCCCTCCTCTTAATGACAGAAAAAAAACACCCAACCAAACTACCCTTTTACTCATTTTTATTCCTGTTACCATTACAAGAGCCTAAATAGCTGGGGGAATAAGCTGAAATAACTCCATTATGCCTACTGCCTCATCAGGAGAACTGTTGACTGAGGGCCAGTTTATGTCAAGAAGTGAAAAAAGGAGCAGAGCTGTGAAAAGTAATACACTGGAGGGGAAGATTCTCTCTTATCTGCACCAAAAGTAACCTAGAAACCAGGGATTTTCAGTGATGGGAACATGTGCCAATGCCAGATGCTTCAAAATAAGAAGAAAAGCTCACTGACAGTTACATAACATTTGAGATTGAGCAATTATTTGGTTTCTAACCCAAACTGGAAGAGCTAAAACATGTAATGCATTTTATTAATCCTGAAATCCACTGCAGAGCCTTATATTTTTCTAACTATTCATACTAACATTTATTTTCATGCAATTGTTTGCATGCTACCAGGTCTTTGCATCAGCAATCTTCAGGCAGGTTATGCACCACCTAGGAAAGACTTTCTGCTAATCTCACTTTGGAAGTAGGTAACTAAAAGCCAGTTCAGGGAAGTCAGGCAGGGAGATCCTAGCAACCCTTTTTCCAAGCAGGGGGAGACCTTGCACCACCTGCAGCTGGGCAGGAGGGAGGGGAGCAGTGACACATTTGATTGAGGTAGAAGCTGAAGGGACCAGATTTGAGTATCTGAGTGTGTCAGTTGGTCTGGCTGGATCCAAAGCTACCAGGAAGAGTTGGGATCTTGCAGGCAGCAAGAGCAGAGGGAGGGAGGAGGCTTGGGTTGGGTTTGGTTTTGAACAATGCACAGGCTTTAGCTAGCATTAAGCAACCAGCTGCAGAGCTACTCATTCACCTCAACAGTGAGGAAAACTAGGAGGATTTTTTAAAAACAGCCCTTCCTCAGCCCTTGTGAGCTGGGTGCTAGGCAGCTGTTCTTAATTGGGGGCTAATTGCAGCTAAACACAAAGAGGGTGTTGTTTGCCTTTGGTGAGGAACAGTGTATTTGCTCAGGTTCCTGCCCACGTCCCTCCCCAGAGCCAGCCAAGCTTCCTGAGATGCCTGAGCTGAAGAGTTGGGGGTGGAAGAGCAGCTCCCAGAACAGCTCCTCTGGAAAGGAAGAGCTTGAGTCACTTCAGGGAGTTCCCATTCACTCCTATCAACTCCAGGGCACAGAAGGGAAGTTTAAGGATAAACAACCCTGAAGCTGCTAAACCTGTATGGCCTGACTAGGTATGGACAGGATGGTTCACTCAAGTGCCAAACGGTGACCTCGATGCATCCTGCAACTGCACTCCTGTCCTGAGGGTGGCATTTATAAGCACTCTGCTGCAGCTTCTTGACAAAGCAGCTTAAACAGCAGAAAGGAGTTTGCAATATCATCAGCACTGCACCATCTTGGGGTCTCTGGTGCTGCCAGGTAGACACCTGCACTTGGGTGGTGAATGCCCTGCACTTCAGAGATGATCTTCAACCACTGTTGGCTCCCAGGGTGCTCAGGGAGAAACAAAGAGAAGGTCAGGGCTCCATGTGGCTGCAACATTTCCTTAGAGGAGCTGGAATTTTTGGATGGCAGAAGAATGAGGTCATTGGTACAGCCTACCAGATTCCTGAAGTCAGCAGGGGTAGGACCATGCTCTACTGCACATCTCAAAACAGCAAGAGGTCGCATTTCTGCATCTGAGATCCTCAAAGCAAACAGAAAGGAGAGAGAAACCTCCAGCCACATTTCTCTTGGAGCTTATGGATGGGCAGATCCCTGCAGTGTGCATGGAGAAGACCCCTGGCAGCACGTTCTAGTGGAGCTGTTTTTGACAGGGTACAGCAGCCTGTCTTGTTCTCACTTCATTTCTTAACCTGCTTTTCAGCCAGCTATTTCACCTCCTTTTGTGCAGCACTCCCTGCTGCAGCTGACACTGTCTCAGCTGTATTTCAGAGTAACTTCCTTACTATGCTCCCATTTACTGATCTTCATGGCTGGTGGTGTGTCAGGGCCCAGCATCCCCCACCCAGCTGTACTCCATGGCACCTCTTCCCCTGGAGATGCTGTTCCACTACATTCCCTCAGCAGCTCCCTTTGCTGAGGTGCCCCCCCATGTCCTACAGGTCTGAAGTCTGATTGCCTTGTCTAGTCTTGCCATTCCTATCACCTTACCAAGTGGCAGAACTGTTCTACAGCACCTGAGGTGCTTGCCAAAAGAACCCTGACTTAATTTCCAAAGCCTGGCAACTGACACAAGAACACTTCTTTTACCTCCACTAAGCAAGTGAGATCCTGAATTACTTACAAACCATAAAGTGGGTAATTTTGGAAGTCACTTTCAAATGGGAACAGGAATTTAAATTTCCTACTGAAGCAGCCACAATACTTGGAGGTGTTTAATGTAAGGGGGGAGGGTGCTCTTTAATAGTTTTTAAAAGCTAGCAGGCTGTCCTCCTCCCATTACAGCATGAAAATCAATTCAACATTTCTAAGTGGTGCCAGTATAAAACTGAAGTCTTATAAATAAGGTTCTTCTGTGGGATGTTTTCAACAGCAACAGAGCTTGCTAGCATTGCATTTAACAATCATCATTATTAGGCCTCCAAATTAATTTATCTTCATGAGATGAGCCACTTTTGCATCTGATGAGATGACTTTTCCTGTAGCTGCAGCGTAGCAGCCACTTCCCAGAAAGGCTTTAAACTCTCTCCAAATCAAAGTCCATGTTAGAAGAAATTCCATGATAAACCTGACTTTGACTTCCACCCTTTTTTCACTTCTACAGCAACTCAGGGAGCCAATGGAGGGAGCAGAGCAGCACAAACTGTGACAGTCTGGCAGCTCCTTTCTTTACCAACTTTCCTACACCCAAACAAAACCAGGAAGAAAAACACACCACAGCTCCTAAACATCTTGTATCCCTGCATCACTGCAACAATTCACAACATCTCTGGCAGGGTGGTTCCCACCCTGACAGAAATGGTTACTGCTTGAATAGTGTTAACAACTTTTTAAGTCATTTACATAAAAACCTTGGGTTTAACTGATTTTTACATTGATAGTGAGTATTATTACCAGAACATCATTATCATGGAGAAAGGGTCTGGTTCTTCACACTAGACTACTCTGTGTGTTACTCAACTTATCAGTACATAAAAGGTATATTCATTTCCTTACCTGGAGTGTTTTATGCCACAATGGGAAGAAAAACACTTTTAAAACCATAGGAAAACCAGAAAAGTTAAACTAAAATGGGATAATAAAAGAAAACAAATGCAAAGAAATAAATTTAAAGTAGGTAAATTTTGAAAGCTGAGCTACTGACTCTCCAGACAGCACCAAGGAACCAGAAGTTTGAGTAATGAAAACAAAAAAAGGAGGAATTCCCATTTGTAGCACAACAGACACATGCTCTGTTGCTAGGTCAGCACATCTAGAACCCCCCAACAGCACTTCTGGGGCAAGGAGCAACACCCCAACATCCCATGGGCTGCCTGGCTGTCACCTGCAATTCTGGCTTGACTTGGTGACAGGCTGTTCTTGAAGGTGCATCATCATCAGCAAGGAGTTCATGGCACTGGTTCACCAGGTGAAAATGTCAAGCCAGGTGCACAGTAACCAGTGTCCTGCTGATGAAAACAACCCCACCAGAGGGGTTTTAATTTGGGGTTTGTTGCTTTTTGCCTTTCACAGAAGTTCCAGCTGGCTGTGGTTACTGTTGCCACTGGTGAGAACTGCTAACTGCTGCATGGATCCTGTACCAAAACCCACCAAGTTTGCCATATACCATGGATCCTGTACCAAAACCCACCAAGTTTGCCATATACCAACCAATTCAACCAGTAAAACACCGTTCCCAGTTCCAATGTCCAGCACAGAACTGTCCAGGGGCACCTTTTGCTTTCCCAGCCACCTGATAACACGAGCCATGCTTTCTTCTCCAAACCTGTGGAAAACAAGGCAATCAAGGCAGCAAATTTATTTCATCACACCCTCTCTTCAGCTTCTGCAAAGTGCCTCTTGCTGAAGCAGCTGGGTGACACCTGCCATAGCTCAGATTTCATGTTTGCTTTCAGTTAAAATGAATCACACAGCCTTAAAATTCCCCAAAACACCAAATCTGGGAGGTGAAACCCTCTGTGTGTTCAAAAAGCAGGCAGCACTGCCAGCTTGCCTAGTTACACCAGGGACAAAATGCACATCTATTAGTAACTTACATGAAAACTACCTGCTCCCTTTCCACGCAGTGACAGTTTTCCAAACACACCTGAGGAGTCTGGATAGCAAAACCAGGCCAGAGAAGCACCGGGGGCTGCAAGATTCCCATTTCCCACCGTTCTGCCAACACCCAGACCCGCTCAGTAACCCGCCCA